GTAGAGCCAAGTATGTTTAGTATGAAAATAGATGATTTGATGAAATTTGAGTCAATGTGAAGATTATTAGGAATAATGACTTAAATCCCATAAAAGATTTGTTTGGAATTAGAGAGATATTGCTTGATGAATAAGAAGACTTGTAAAAGAAGAATTCTAAAAGAAAATAGATTCTTAATAGATAAGTTTGACTTGCAAAAGAAGAACTTTAAGAGGAAAGGGATTCTTAATAGATAAGTATGTATGGCTATAAATAAATAAAGTCTCTGCAAGATTAAGTATAAAAAAAAAATGAGAGTTCTAGGGTTTATGGGATAAACATCCTATAAAAATTTACGTCTTATGGGTATATATATTTATTTGTCAATGAACTAGAGAAGATTGAGATGGTCCACATAGGTATGATGAATGGATAGATATGGATGTGTTTGTTTGTGTTGAAATAGTGCATATGAGATGTGTTTGTTTGGGTTGAGAATACTCCATAAGATTAGAGGAGATTGAGAGGGTTTATGGGTATTGATTGTTAAGTGATTGACATATTTTAATATATATTTGCAATTCTCTACAACTAATGGATCTTGTTTCTCATCCGTGGATGTAAGTTAATTGGACTGAATCACGTTAAATTATTATTTCTTATATGATTAATTGATTGTTTGATTATGCTTTCTTTATGTGATTGGATTGGGGTTTTTTAGTCTAACAAAATCAACATTGTTGTAGGAAAGATCTAACACTGATAGACTAGTTTTCCATATCCAACTAGGTATGTCACCAACGGTTTTGTTGTTGGAAATTTATAGAAATTTCAAAACTGTTTTGTGTTTTAAGGAAACTTGAGAATTCAGTAATGTTACAGTAACTCAAACTCAGTTCCTCTAATCGGGGAAGGGTAGAGCTTGTATTGTCATTTTGAACAGATAAGTTGTTTCCAGAAAGATCAAGAGAGATTAAGCTCTTGAGATTCAAGAATATGCCTAGTTTCAACGAACCAGTGAAGTTGTTATAAGCCAGTGAAATAACGTTGTGCTCTGGAAGTTCAATGATTGATCTTGGAATTGGGCCTTTTAGATTGTTTCCTTCAATAATTAAATACGTTAATGGCGAAGAAGATGCATTATGAAACTCTTCGAGTTCTCCAACAAGTAGATTTCTCGAGAGATCCAATGACCGCAGGGATGGGAGTGCAAACAGAGAGGAAAATACGACTCCATTGAGTTGGTTGGAAGACAAGTCAAGTATTTTAAGATTTGTAGCTCCTTCTCTATGAAATGGAGGGAGTGGACTGCTGAAATTATTTTCGGAAAGATCAGCACCCCTGAGGGTAAGGTTTGCAAGAGATGATGGGATTGAACCAGAAAATTTGCAAGAACACAGTCGTCAAGCCCCTAAGGTTACCGTCTTAAAGAATGAGGCTG